AGCCTGGAGGTGATAGGGAGCATGGGGTGGTCAGATCTGAGCTGGAGGAAATGTATTTGGGAGGAAGAGAAAGAGGACTGGACCAGCTAGGGGTGGGAGTGGGCGCTGTTTCTCAAAAGTCTTTCCTTGACGCTGCCCTCCCCCACTAAACAAATACTTTCTGTGTCTCTGCCCCAGCATAAGAGGATGTTGGTGCTAGAAGGGCCCTTAGCCACCATCTAGGCCAATCCTTTCTCTTTACAGAGAGAGAAGTGAACCTAGAAAAGGCCACACAGCCAGCTTATGGCAGAGAGATGACCAATGTCCACTCAGTTTAATGACCTCTCTGAAGACAAGGATTGTTCAGGCTTTTGTAGGGAAGAGGGAGAAGGCAACATAGTGTAGTGGCAAGAACATTGATTCTGGAGTCAAAGGACCAGAGTTCAAATCCTCACCTCTGATACATACTACCCTAGGGGCAGCAAGGTGGCACAGTGTGTAGAATGCTGGGCCTGGGGTCAGGAAGACCTGAATTCAAATCTGGCCTCAGATGCCTACCAGCTGTGTGACCCTGGGCAAGTCATCCAACTTGTTTCTGCCTCTGTTTCCTCAGCTATAGTACGGGGACAACAACAGGGTTGTTGTGAGGATCAAGGGAGATCATATTTGCAGGCTGGGCACAGCACAGCATCTGGCCCATTGTGGGAGCTCAATAAATGCTTGCCCCTCCTCTTGTGACTTGGGCCACCTCCCTGGGCCTCAGTTTCCTCATCTGTAAAATGAGGGCATCAGCTGAGCTGGCTCTGAAGCTGGGTGTGTTCACACGGTGGGTTCTGAATACATGCTTCCTGAGTGTCTGTTCCTGTGAATTGGACCCGGCACCTGACAAAGGCTGATGACAACAATGCTGGGGCTTCTCCGGACAAAGATCTCCCTCACACCTCCACCACACGCAGAGTGGAGTGCTATCTGCCTATAGCTCTAGTTTGCGCCGTCACTCCCCTGGATCTGCCCCGAGGCCAATCCGCACCAACGTGCATGATACGGGCCCTCCCCTCTAGGGCCAGGCCCCTCAGACTGACAAGGCATGGCTTTCAGAGGCTAGAAAGGGGCCTGCCTTCCTCAGGCTGAGCTGGAGCAGAGGAGATGGCCAGGATGGGCCGTGGGGCAGGCCCAGGCTCTAACACCCCCCCCCCCCCCCCCCCCCCCCCCCGACATCGGCACCGACACAAGTCCTCTGGCACCTCCCTCTGTAGTCAGACCCAGTAGGAAGAACTGCCTGTGATGGAGAAGGGGCCAGCCCATCTCCAGATAGGGTATCTTATCTTTCAGGGGTTTATCCAGCTCTTCTGTTAAAGTCAATTGGGCAGAAGCCCACCTGCTACCTGTCCTAATTTCCTCCTCATCAGCTCTGTTGACAGAGTTCTTGCTATGGGCCTGGAGGATAAATTCTCTTTCAAATTGTAAATATTTATTGATCCGGAAAAAAAATTATGGTTATTTAGTACTTCTACCCAGTACAACCCTTCCTTGTGTCAAAGAAGCATAATTAAGCAAAACAAATAGATACACTGGCCTCTCTGACAATGTATGCCTCATTCAAAACCTGTAGTCCTCCATCTCTCTGCCAGGAAGAGGGAAATATGTCTGACTATCTGAAATTAAGATTGTTCACTATGTTCTTTGAATTCTGATGTCTTTTCATGTTGTTTTCCTTCAGATTATAATAGTCTTCATTTAAATTGAACTCTTCTTCCTTTACCGTGCATCTGTCCATAAAAATCTTCCAAGTTGTTCTGCTCTCATTATTTCTTTTTTTCATCTTCCTTGTGGACTAAATCTGTAATTTCACTGGGGTAGGAAGCTCCCAGGGAGGAACTCACTCTACCAGTTAAGGTTAGTGTATTCTCTGCAACCTATAATTTTACTTAGAGAGTTACCCAGGGTACTGAGAATTAAAGTTTGTCTAAGGTAATAGCTAATTTGTAGCAGAGCTGGGGTTCGCTGACAGTTCTTTTCACTCTTGAAGCTAGCTCTCTCTCTTTCTACTACTCCAATAGTTCTCAACATTTTTTGTTCTGTGAATTCCTTTCAACAATGAAAAAAAAAAGTCTTATAAATCCTTAGGGTGATTTAATATATTCATAATATTCTTTTAGATTTATTAAGTGCTTATAATAAATAAAATAATAACTTTTACCCTACAAAAGCTCCAAATTAAATTTTCTATTACATAATCATAATTATAAAACATGAAAGTCTATTGTACTTATAATTTTGAAAACACAAAATATATAATTATGAAATTTATTATAAAATAATCATAAGCATTTTATGTGGGATATTCTGTAAGGATTAAAATAATCTAGCATGACTTTATGTTTACTATTATCTGTAAGACTTCATATTAAATTTCTTTAGTTGATAGATTTGTGAATATAAACAACATTTTAATAGAAACATTACAACTAGGAAGACTTTAACATAACATAATTACAGGTAAACTTAATTTCAATGTGGACTTTTTTATTTGAACAAAAGTCTGCAATATTTGGTTTAACATAAAAGAATTACAGTCTTAAATTTGGTTCCATGTCAAATTTACTTCTGTATTTTGATTTAAAACAAGAATAATGTGAAAATGCTTACTCACATAAATATGTGGAGGAAAATGGCAGGAGAATGTTGTAATATCTCTTACTAAGAGATGGAATTTCCTTTTAAAAAAATTTTAGTCACTGATTCAATTGACAAAAATGAGTAGCCAGTTATGATATAAAATACTTTTCTACTTACTAATGGTAAATGCTATATTAAATAGTACATGTACTTAAAGTGAAATTGAATATATTGCTTTGTTTTGAACAGTATTTATATATAAACTTCTGGAAGGAAAAAAAATCTCTTCAGATGTGACTTTCTTCCCTTTTACCACTGAAACACCAGCCAGACTCTCACAGAAACTCTACTAAACAAATGACCAGTGTTGCCCACCAGTTCATTTGAAAATCAGCCAGATAGAAGATTAGCAAAACAAGAAAAAGATAAGTTGGAATCAGAAAATAGCCTTAACTTTTCAATGAGAGGAAATAAAATGTTTCAAGATGGCTTGTAATGCGCATATCCAGTGGTCATGGTTTTTAAATAGCCTATTTGTGTTTCAAGAGCACAAATATTCATAACATTTTGATCATATTATTACATAGCTGATGAGGTTATCATTATAGGGTAACAGAGGGGAATGCACTATGCAGAACACAAATGATGATTTGCTTATATGTCTGACCATCCACGGGGAATCAGTTTACACTTGAATATTAAAACCTTGTAGTGGTTTGGAAACAGTTTGATGACAGGTGGAGAAACTTTAAGAACATGTTGAGCTTAGTCAGAAGTAATCAGAATTTCATGTAATCACTGCACAAACATCAAAATTATTGTGCTTATGATCATGACAGATTTGAATACCTGCAGAAATAAACATACACTTCTTTGAACATATGCTTGTTTTCATAGAGGAAACATAATTGTATAATTATTTACTTATTGGTATACCATTAAAGAATTTATACACACATACATATACATGTACATATACATGTACATGTAGATAGATAACTAGATAGATTGACAGATAGAGAATCAGAAAAACAAAATACATCAATATGTTTAGACCTGGGGATTTCACAGGTGTGGGAACTCCCTTTGCTAATACGGGTGATGGCTCATCTATTACTGTAGTCTTTGAGAATTGCCTGAGGCTAACAAAATAACAAAATGTAGTCAGAAAAGAGAACAGAAAGGAATACAATGCAAGTCATAGGATCATAGATTAATGATCTTCCAGTTAAGCCCTTTCATTTTATAGATGAAGAAATTGAATATTAAAGTAGTTAAGTGACTTGCCCGAAGTCACACATGTAGTAAGTGGAAGCGTAAAGATGTGAACCCAGGTCACATGACTCCAAATCCAGAACCTCTCCACTGTTCCATGTTGATTGAGACAATATTATTGCTATTTCTAAAAGTTTGCATATCATTTTCCTTTTATCAAAATGTAAATAGTTCAAAGTTTATGGCCTTGTGGATTATTTATTTCTTACTTTTTTCTTTATCTGATTTTTTATTTTTGTTTATGGTTACTAATTTTATGACAAATATTATTATTAAAAACAAAGAATGAGTTGCACAAGTTGCCAGACTTCTTCAGAAATGTGACCATGTAGGACTAATTCTAGCTCTTCTCTTGGTAGGATGTGAAGGTGATGGGTGACTTTCGCCACTTTATAGTTTCACTGGAAAAGTCCTGGGCTTTTCACATTACTTAGATTTTCCACTGGATGCCCATATTCTGCACCTCATTCGATAGATGCTCTTCTGGCCTGCAGAGGACTCTAGCCAACCTCAGCAAATTCCTGCTTTCAGAAAATCCCTTGGAGGCTGAATTTCCCACAAAGAAATGAGGATCCAATCTATATAGACAGCATCATATTTTCAGTGACAGAGAATTCTCTCAGGAAGTAAGATAATAACCCCAGGGGCTCTAGTGGTTGGAAAGAAATGTAAGAGCCAGTCAAGGGAACCTTTGCAAGAGCCAGTCTTAAAACAATGTTCCTCAACCATTGGGGTTTTTTTTTGTACATGAAGGAGATTATTTAGACCCCTTCACTGACCTACCCCAAGATGTTGGGCAAAAGGAGTCACCTCAAGCTTTCATTTCTGTTTCACTAGTAAAGGTTCTTGTTGACTCAGTGCTAACAGCAGAGCCCTTGGGCGAGTAATCGACCACTTTCCTGATAGCATCAATCTCATTTTCTGTGGTTATTGCAATCTAAGAATCTTCTCATGTGCCACTGGGACATAGTGAGCAAGTGGCTGTCATCTTTCCAGCAAGAGAAAGACCTGCTCATCTCTAACCTCCTCCTGATAGGGGTGTGTGTGTGTGTGTGTGTGTGTGTGTGTGTGTGTGTGTGTCCAGGACTTCCAGGTTCCTTCTCTATTTTATAATCTCTGTCCAGATAATGGATGATGAAACCCTGTCAGAAAGACAGGAGAAATTTGGCTTCCTGGAACTGGTTGGTAGAAGACCAGACCTTACCATCCCCATTTGCCCACCATACAATGAGTGTTGCTTAAAATCTTTTTCTTAGAAGCTTTGGCTGAGATGAGTTGAAGTTCATGTAATACTCCTCTACCTTTAGAATCTCAAGCGTTCCTGTGGCCACATATCCCATTTCCCCTGCCTCTAGGCAGTTCTACACTGAAAACATTTTGCTCCAGGAAGGAGAATGAGATAGGAGAGCAGGAACCCCATAGGAAATGACACGAATGAGTGACCCGTGAGAACTAGTTCACTTTAATCTCCTTGGTCTGAGCTTTACTTGGAATCAGATCCTTTGTCCTTCCTGCACTCTCAGTTTTCTGTTTAGAGAGGGCCCCTTTGCTCTTGATTGGCTCTTCAGAAGGTCCAAGTCAAGACTGCAGCCTTACCTGGAAAAATGCCATTATTCATTCAAAGAAGGGACCGACCCCTGGGCAGCAAGTCCCACATTAAGCCAAGTCTTTGCCTAGCCAGGCGGAAACATGCACACACCTACTTCAGAAGCCCTAGAGCTCACTCTTCAGCTCAAGTAGCTCAAAGTAGAGTTCTGTGGAAGCAGGAACTGTTTCTGTAAAGGTATCTGGCATGCTCTGAGTGCTTACCAAGTGTTTACTTTTCATAATATCATTTGAGAAATTCTGTGCATGTTTATGTCTGCTTTAAGAAATCAGACCCATTTCTGCTGCTGATAGCAGTGAACATGGTAGAAGGGGGAGGTATGATCCCAGATTTTCTCATAATCTGTCAACAGTCTGTAGTTTAGTCTGGCAAGAGCTTGCGGATAAGTAAACAGTAGGGATTCAATAAATTCTCACTCAGAGACTCAGGCAGATCAGTACAATAATGAACCAAAACTGTCAAGCTCTTACATTTTGTTACTACTTACCTTCTCCTTGCAGGCACTCAGGGGCTTTCGAAAACACAAGGACCTGTAAAGAATGGGATTGGAAGAATTATTACCCCATACCTCAGGCAAAGAAATAGGAGCCTATTTCACAGCCCATGTCCTTTGCACTGCTCAGGAGGTCACAATCAAGAAAAGCAGTAAGAATCTGGCTCTGTGGACTCCCAGGGCAGACCAACTTGGAGATCTAGGGCCAAGAAATGCAGTCATATTAGCTGTCATTTGGAAAGAATCCCAAATATATGTAAGGACTGAATCTTTGTTGCTCAGTCATCTTAGTTGTGTCTGATTCCTTTTGTGATCCCATTTGGGGCTTCCTTGGCAAAGACACAGGAGTGGTTTGCCATTTCCTTCTCCAGCTCGTTTTACAGATGAGGAAATTAAAGCAAACAGGGTTAAGTGACTTGCCCAGGGTCACATGATAAGTATCTGAGGTTGGATTTGAATTCAGGAAGAAGAGCCTTCCTGACTCCAGGCCAAGCACTCTATCCATTGTACCATCTTGGTTGATAAAACTGGAATGCTTGTCATCCAGCCATCCAGCCATCAAACAAACTTTTATGAAACAACTACTTCAAGGAGAGTCCTGTGTTTAATGCTAGAAATATCCAGAAAAGGAACCTGGTCCTTGCCCTAAAAGAATTCACTATTTGAATTAAAGAGTCAAGACTAATATAGGTGCTAAAATGTGTTATACATTAGGAGGGTTATCAGAGTTAAGAGACAGGGATGGGCAATCAATGTATGCTAGAATGTTAAAAAAAAAGATAATGGGAGCAAGTAAGATTTGACTAAGTCAAGGGAAAGAAGTATGACTGATCACTGTGTGTATGTGTAGTAGAGTTAGGGAGAAGGAACCATATGAGGCTAATGCATAAACAATCATTCAGATAACAATTTTAGTTTACAGACCTCAAAAGTTGACCATACTCATGTGAGCCAAAGACTTAACTACACAAAAATGTACAGAATTAAGACAAACATCCAGTCTGGAAGACTGGATCCAGTCGGATCCAAGCCACTTCCCAACTTCTCTGCCCAGTTGATCTCATTGTCCTGTCTCCATGCCTTTGCACATTCTGTCTTTCTTGCCTTGAATTCACTCCCTCCTCACTTCTTAGAATCTCTAGCTTCCTGTAAAACTCTACTCAAGCTCCATTTCCCAGGTAAGGCCTTTCCTTATTCCTGTATCCAGTTGCTCACGACACCCAAAAACATTATTTTGCATTTATAGGATCATAAATTTAGTACTGAATGGGAACATAAAAGCCATTCAGCCCAACCCCTTGTTTTACAAATGAAGAAACTGAGGCACAGTGCAATTTACTTGACCAGGTCATACAGCCAGTAAATATCTGAGACAGGGTTTGCACCCAGGTTTTTATGCTTCCAAGTTCAATGCCCTATCCAATGTACCATGTTGCCCCTCATTGTGTATGTGTGCGTGTGTGTGTGTATGTATACATATGTGTATACATACATATGTGTTTACATGTGGTTTTCCTGCATGTAATGCAAGTTCTTTGAAGGCAGAGACAGGTTAATTTCTGTCTTTGTATCCTCAGTAAGTAGTACAGAGTAGGTGCTTAATAAATGTTTATTGAATGATTAATGCTCTGATAATATGGTTAATCTCAAGAATTCCAGGGCAGGGAATAGAAAGAATTCTAGATATAGAATTAGAGGGTTGGAGTTCAAATATCAGCTCTTCCAATTATGTAAGCTTAGGGAAATCCCTTCACTTCTTTAAATCTCAGTTTCCTCATCTGTAAAATGAAAAAAAAAAAGGTCTTTAAGGACCTTTCCAGTTCTAGATACTATACTGATAGTTAATTCAGACTTTGGAAATCACCTTGAGCCAAGCAGGGCAGGTACAGTAGCACAGCCTCTCAGGCCTGGGGCCGCTTCTCTCTGGGGCCTGGCAATCTCTCTATCAGACTGGTTTTGTCGGGGGCTTCTGGTTATTGAAAAAAATCTGTAATAAAATTCCCAAATGTAACACTGGTGTGTAAATGGGTGTTTGAGGATCTCATGGGTAACAGTGATGTGATAAGAAGCCGGAGATTCCATCCCTCAGGTAGTTTCCCCTGCCTCCTTCGGTTTGTTTGTGGTCAACATTAATCATTTCCTCTAACTGCATATAAGAGCTTCTCAGCCCCGATCAGCCCAGTTCAGAGCTGAAGCTTGAAACCAAAAACTACAATGCAAAAATTCTGTCACCTTCTACTCTTCTCTGCTTTGATCTCTTCTGCCAGCTTGGCACCCATCACTCCGAAAACAAGAGAACCCGACCTGGAGACTATCATTGCTCAAACTCTGGAATTATCACGTAATATCACTATGGACCCAGGAAAGGTAAGTGACTCACAGGTGACTTGGATTCAACCTTTGCTCTCCAAAAGTTAATCTGCCCTTTTCTCCCTTCAAATGTGAACTGATTATCTGCCTTTTTTCCTTCAGGATAGAGAGGTGAAAATTGTTTCAGAGGAATTCAACAGGCAGGTAAGATGTACTCCTCTACATCTACTTATACATCTGTTTTTCTAAAGGGAATTATTTAAAAGATCTTTGTACTGGCCCTCGGCTATCAGATCAATTACCAATTAAGATAAGCTGTGTGTAGCTGGCATGTAGCTCCCATGACTCACTAGCATTAGTATTTCTGGCTATTCGAAAGGTTTCAAACAGCATACATTCCCTCTTCCCCCACCCCCTCCTTTGCCCCTGCCCCAAAAGGGATTATAAGAGCCAAAGTTAAGTGCCAAAGCCAGAAACTATTTTATGTGTCAGTGATCCTCCATCTCTACTACAGCTCGATTTCTCGGTCATAGTTTCTCAGACATCACAGACATAGACGGCATCTTACAGGTTACTAGTAGGATGAAATACAACAGGGCAAGGAAGAACCAGACAGTGGCTCCCACAGTCTCCTGAGAGAGTCTAATCTCTGAGCCCCTCCTTCAGTCTCATAGCATGGGTCCCCTCTTAAAAAAAATAGAGGATTGGTTTTGGAACCAGAAATCCAATCAGCTGTATTTTGGGGCAAGTCTACTTGGTGCCTCACTTTTTTTTTAGCTATAAAATAGTTTCTTTTGCAAATAATAATAGCCCCCAATTACATAACATTTAAAAGTTCATAGAGCATTTGCCAAATAACCTGGAGAAATGGAAAGTGTAGGTATTATTATCCCTATTTTTAGATGAGGAGACTGAGATTCATAGAGGATAAGTGACTGGCTCAGGATCATACAGCTATGATACATCAGAACTGGGGCTACAATAGGCATATTGTGAGGCTCAGACAAGATCACGGCTGTAACAAAGCTTTATGTACTATCAAACGTCACATTAAGATATAATTCTCATGCTGAGGTTAGAACCTGGGGTCAGAAGTCCTAACTTTCTATCCCAGAGTCTTTTCCCCCAGGTCACAAAGATATCTAACTATAATTAGTTGGAAGTCACTATTCACAGAAGAACATTGAGTTATAAAAGGCAGTGAGCTATAGCAGCTAAAACATTGGATTAGAGTCAGAAAGACCTAGATTTGAATCCTTCCTCAGATAATTGCTAGCTGTGTGACCTTGGGTAAGTCACTTAATAGCTCTTAATAGCACTTAGCTGTCTTAATAGACAGTTTCCTCGTCTATAAAATAAGACAGATGGATTCAATGACCTCTACGGTCTTGTTTGACCCTAAATCTATGATTGCATTGGTTCCTCTAGCAATGAGTAGCCGGGAAGACTACACCAAGTCTCAGTGGTTGTTCTATGCTTTTTCCGTGCTTGGGTTATGCTGTGACATTGTATCATTGAGCAGGAGCTCAGGGCAGTGCCATGGGCACACGTATCTGACTAGACCTCTGAGAGTGGGAGAAAAAGGTATGAGTATGAGTTCAAATTCGGCCTCAGACATTTGACACTTACTAGCTGTGTGACCCAGGGCAAGTCACTTGACCCAGATTGCCTCACTAAAAAAAGGAAAAAAAAAAGAAAAAGGTATGGGTGGCCCTATGACTGGATAGATGTGAGGAGTGCACTGTGATGCCCAGAACACGGGAGCAGCTGGGTAAGGAGCTCTGCTGGGCCTCATGCACAACATACACTTACCATCTCCTTCCCAGAATCTCCCAGAATGATCTGGGATGTGAGCAGACCTGTTGAGAACATAGGAGCTTTCTAAATGCTTTGGAGAATTCAGTGCCGCTGTTGAAAACAAGTTAATGTGTAAAAGGTGTCAGAGAAGAACAGGCCACTGTAAAGCGTGTTGTGTTGGTCTGAAGCTTTGCTAATTTATATGTCTCACTTTGTAATATAAAGAACCCAGCATGTGAAGTAAAAAGATGCAGGTTTAAATCAGGATCTGCTACTTCAATCTCATGTGACCTTGGGCAAGTCACTTGGTTTCCATTTCATCATCTATAAAATGGAAGGGTGCGATTAGCTGATGTCTAAGGTCTCCTCCCACTAAGTCCTATGATCTTAGAAACTCTGCTGCTAAAGGGATCCCTCATGCTATAATTGGAAAGAACTCAGCCCCAACTTCTGCGTATCTGTTTTAGTGACAAACATAACTATTTTAGCTTGGACTTGAGCTATGATCCCATTGACTCAGACACACTCGCTAAGCAAACTGACTTTTCTTTCAGGAGCCCAAATGCATACAGACACATATAAAGACTTTTTCTGATGGTTTACATGTAAGGGACCAAGCAATCAAGAAAAACCTAGAAAGGATTGCTGCACGCTTCAATGCTTCTTCCTGTCCCGCACTCGATGTAAGTTTTCTCTATTACAGAACGTGCCTATTTTAATTATGTGATGTGGAGATGGTCAATCTGCTTTTCACGGATGTCAAATCTTGGTATAAACCAGGAAAGATCACATTCGAGGGCAGGCTAAAGCAGCAAGGAGATATGTGTCTACTTAGAAACACACATTTTAAATGTATACATGCATTGTATAATTTATACCATATATATTTCTATAGTTTTATGTATATTTCAAATACAAACATCCATGTGTGTGTGTATGGTTTAAAAACAAATTATTTCCATGGTGTATGTATATACTAAAATATGTAGCATAGCAGATTATATCAAGTGCTGGACTTAAAATCAGAAAGATCTGGATTCAGATCCTACCTCTGACACTAGCTGTGTGACATAGACAAGTCACTTCACTTTTCTTACTCAGTCTCAGACTCCTCCAAGTCTCTTCATGTAAAACTGGGAACCCCATGGGTCCCAACCTCCTAGGGCTGATGTGAGACTCAGTTGTGATAACGTCAAGATATCAAACACATGATTTCTTTAAAGAGCTCCAAATATACGTTAGTGCTGCATGAATTTGCTTATTTTACATATATACAGTACATATAATATATCTAACTTATATATACATATATATACAAGTATATATTAACATGCATTTATGTATAATTATTTGCATTTGTATATTCTCATTTATTTTAAAATTGATTCAATGATTTTTATATAACAAAGGTATATAAATGAATCTATTTCTGATACTTAGAAGATAAAACTTTAATAGATATAAAATTCGTCACTGGATGATTTACTAAGGTCATAGACCACGGTAAACATAGTAGATCTGAGAGCTGGACAGGACTACCTAATTACCCCCCCCTCCCCCATTTTATAGAGGAGGAAACTGAGACCCAGAAAGGTGAGGTGACCAAAGCCACAGAGCAAGCCAAATGTCAGATCAGGGAGTGGAACCCATATCTCTTGAGTCTCAGTCCAGGGCCTGTTCCACTAAGGCCACATGATAAATTACTTTGGGTGTCCTGAATGTCTAGATCCTGCACTTACTAACTCTTATGAGGAAGGAAGTTGCCAAAGTTCTGACTGAGCTTTAAAAACATATAGCAAACTCTGTTATTCACCTTAATGGTTTCAGGGCCATAAGGCAGATAAGTATCCAAATGGCTTTTAATTTGGACTTTTGAACGTGGGTGTGTCTGGTGTTCTTGGAATTCACAATGCTGCACACCAGAAAAATGAGGTCACACCTGAGAGAGAACTGGGAAGCTATCTAATTTACCTGCTCAGAACCTGTCCCTAATCCCTTCTTCAGGCTTGAGAGATATGCATCATCTCCTTCAAGCTAATGCAAAATACCAGCCTAAACAGAGGCTGCCCTGAATAAAATAGTTAAGTGTTTTGCTCTAAAACGTCTCCAGCTTTACTATTGGATTACCCTAGAACTCTATCAATTATTATGTTAAGTATCAGGGCTTTGCCACCATATCCGAGAATTGATCATGTCTAGTGGGCTGACTATTCTGGGGACACACACACACACACAGACACACACACACACACACACACACACACACAGCTCAAGAGCTCTTCCATCTGTATACAGATCCAGAGCTTCCCATCATGTTGATAGCAGCTCCTTATTCCTAGGTCCTTTTAGTTCCTTACCCACAGCATTTCCTGGTGCTCTTTGCCCCAGAAGCATATTGGCTATCATAAGGTAGCCAGGGGGAAATTCCTCTCTCCATTTCTATTCAATGTAATTCAAACATTCCAGAGCTTAGATAAAAGAATCCATGACCTCACGGATTCACTGGGGAATAAAGCACAAACATAGATAATTATGATGGCCCCTCTTACATGATAAGAGCTTTTGAGGAAGGGTAGAACAAAGCACTTCTTCCAAGGGGGAAAGATCTTTTACTGAGGAGAGTGTTGAGGGAAGACTTTATGGAGGAAGTGTCACTTGAGTTGGAGTTTAAAGGCTGGGTAAGAATTCCTAACGCAAAGAGGGGAAGGAGACCTAAGGAATGGCTTAGCACAAGCTAAGCTAAGGAATGTCTGGCACAAGCCAAGAGGCAGAAACTTGCAGCAGCACAATCCTAAAAACGGCATTGGCCTAACAAGGCTAGAGTAGTGAAACGAAGCCCTAGACTTGAGGTTAGAAGACATAGGTTCAAGCCTCAGTTTTACCACTCTGACTCTTTCCCAGTCTCAGTTTCTTTCCCTGTAAAAGTGGAATCATAGACTTAATAAGACCTCCCTCCTAGAACTGTTGAGGAAAAAGACCATTGTTGAACAACAGTCTGAATTTAAAATTAGTTTGAATTTGACTTAATATAAAATTAGTTCAAATTAGTCTTAATAACCCATTGCTTGACCCAAGAGACATCAAGGTCAGAGACACTTCTTAGAAATATTTCTCCCACCGCCCCACTTAACCCCTTACAAGGCAAGAGACAAAATCAAAGATGAGCATCATTTTTATTTAATACCATCAAAAGCTAATTAGAATTATCATTTTTTAAAGGAAACTTCCTGCAGCTTCCGAATACCTGATCATGAAGAATTCAAAACTCAATTAATTCAGTTTTTAGAAGAGATCCCCTCTGACTGCCAGAACCTGAAACCTCCATCATCTGCTAAGAACTGACCTGCACCAAAGCCTTCACTGTCCAGAGCCTGTCTCCTTTGCCCCCTCAGGGAAACAGAGCCCAGGCCAAGACTGAGTTTTCAGTCTGGCAAGAGACTGGGCTACTAGCTTCAGCTCCACAGGATCTCCCAGGTGCAAAGGGCTCCCGGGGTCCTAAATGGGGTCAGGTTCTGTTACGTTTACATGGACCTCTACATAAACTTTGGGACTCGTTTTGCTGTGTTGGGGAGAGTGGGGGGGGTGGGGGATGGGAGGGCCTATTTTATACCAGAAAGAGTAATATATATCTATCTATATATATAATATGTATTTATTTATTTATTTATTAAGCCTTAATATTGTATTTATTCAAGATGTTCTACCCTAATAATATAGATGATAAACATTATGTTTTTGTTCATGGTCTTTTCTTCATGAGTTTGGAAAAAATGTGTGTTTTGCAGTCAATGTATTTTTATTGTCAGTCAATGTATATTTATGGGGTGGTAAATAAATAAATCATACTCCAAAAAAATCTTATTCTAATACCTCATCATGGCCTAGAGATAATCTTGAGATCTTAGTCAACCAATTAATAAGGACTTATTAAGTACCTACTGTATGATGGGTTCTAGAGCTACCAATAGAAAGAATGAAACACTCCCTACTTCCAAGAAGTTTATATTCCAATGGGGAGACAAGTACCCTTAAGCTCTGGTAGTTTCCACTATGGTGGAAAGGTTTTGAGTATAGCCCTAACACCAGACTGCTTTCTTTCTGAACTCTAGAATAGTTCAGTACAGAGTACATCACCAGTAACCTGATGTACTTTGTTATTATCCACTTATCATCAAAACAAACTAAGGAAAGCACTCAGGACTTTAGATGCTCCCCCTTCCCCACCTTTAGCCAATGTATGGGAGGACAGGGACTAGAGTCACTCGGATGGACAAGAATGAATGGTCAATTGATGCAATGTGCATCACTGGAGAGAATATGTACACGAACGAAACTCCAGCAGTTAGATGCCACAGTGGATAGAGGGATTGACTTGGAGTCAGGAAGACCTAAGTTTGCATTCAACCTCAGACAACTGCTAGCTGTGTGATCCTCGGCAAATACCACAATCTCTATCTGTCTCAGGTGCTTCGTCTGTAAAATGGGGATAATAATGGCATTTGCCGTGTAGAGTTATCGCAAGAACAAAATGAGATGTTTATTAGGTGCTTTGCAAACCTTAAAGCACTATATAAATGCCAGCTACATTATTGTGACTGAGATAATATATCTATTAGAGTATTGTAACAGATGAAGAAGATTCAACCCTTGCTCTAGAGAAGCTCACAGCCAAATAGGAGAAAAGTCTTTTCCCTTCTACTTGTCAGATGCAGGGGATTTCCTGCAACATCTCTCCAAAATGTCTTTACTTGCTCAAGACAGGACTTCAGAATCTTTTGTTGGAGAATTTTCCTCTCAAAGCCCATCAATGAAAATCCTGAAGGACAAAAGAAAAAACTGTTCCTCACTTCCATTCCACTGCTTAGTCTGGCCTATGTCTAAGAACAGGTATGTGATCCCACAGAATTTAATATAGACCAACCTTTCCTCAATTCCTCTCTCCAGAAGTGAGGTAAGGAAGGAAATATGCTGTCCAGGATTCCCCTGAATAGCCAGGCCTACTGTACATTTTTGTGCAATGACATAAAGCAGGGCCACCCCCCAGAGGCACAGATGAAGCAGTAGTCACTTGTGGATTTTTTTCCTCTCCCATCACCAAGGGAGGCTGAGGGAATCCCCTTTCTTGAAGGAGGTTATTTTAAATAAACAGTCTGGCACTATGGGAAGAACACTGTGCCCTAGGAACCATAAGACTTGGGCACTAGTCCCTGCTCTGATCCTAACAGGCTGGAGGTTTACAGGAAAATCACTTGCTGCCATTTTACAGGTGTGGATTGTACAGCCCCAAAGGGTTAACAGAACCTGTGTATCTACTTCATAAAGTTATTATGAGGATAAAATAAAAATAACATCAACTTTTGAGACACAAGTTTTTATTACTTCCAATGCACTTTCAGGTTCATTCTATTATTTATTCCTTACAACAGTACTGGGGAAGGGCTATTTATTTCATTCATCAGGTCTTTGGGAAGCAATCTGACCCAAGGAACCCCTAATACCTTACGGCCCCACATTAGCCTTCTTTATCTAACAATTAAAAACTCCTGCTGGGTCCAAGGGACTGGGACACTGTACCCACTCTCTGTCTACTAAGGATCCACTCTGCTCTGGATTCACGCACACTGCCCAGACTGGGTTCAATCCTTGACGGGTCCTGGCCTCTATCTAGAGGAAGCTGGCTCCCAGTCCTCACCCTCTTCAGCTTGGCATGCCTCCACCCTGGCACCCCAGAGAAAATTTACTTCAAGTTAGGTTTTGGTTCATATTTAGGGTCTCCTCAAAGGGTGAATTGGGAAGGTACTCAATATGCAATATCAATCAGATATAGGAGAGATTTATAATTTTCTACACACACACACACACATACACACACACACACACACACACACTATTCCCCAATAAATAACCAAAGGATGTAAACAGGCGATTTTTAAGGAAGAAATGCAAATTATCAACAGCCATATTTAAAAAAAATTCCAAATTACTAAGAATGGGTGGGTTGTTGTTCTTTGTTTTCAAAGAGGACCAAAGTGACACTGGGGCCATGGTACAATGTGTCTGACTGTGGCTGGTCAGACCAATATGAGCTCAGAAGGTTCTACCCCAAGTTAGGTACAGATAGTCCATATGAACATTTGGGGGGGAGATGTCTCTACATTTGAGCTTCTCACATTTCTCTTGAGCTATTGCAATTATGCTTTGCTCATAGAGCACAGTGCCCTCATTGATGCAGGCATGCCATGCTGGGCAGTCCTGTGCCAGTGTCTCCCATGTCTCACAATCAATACCAAGGTTCAAGAGACCTTGAAACTATCCTGATATCACCTCTTCTGTTGAGCATGCGAGCACCTGTCTTGTATGAGTTCTCCATATAATAGATTTTTAGGCAAATGTACCTACCTTTGGGATACGTAGCCAGCTCATCAGAGTTGTGCTCTCTGTAGTAAAGTTAGAATGCTTGGCAGTTCAGCTCAAGAAAGGACCTCAGCATCTGGTATCTTTTGCCAGATGGTCTTCAGAATCTTCATAAGAAAATCCAAATGGAAGCAATTCAATTTCCTGGCATGGCACTGACATACTGTCCAGGTTTCACAGATACACAACAATGAGGTCAGCACAATAGCTCTGTAGACCTTCAGTTTAGTGGGCAGCCTAACACCTTTTCTCTCCCACACTTTCCCTTGGAGCTTCCCAAACATGAGCTAGCTCTAGCAATGAGTGTGTCAACCTCATCATCTATGTATACATCCCTGGAAAGTATACCACCAAGGTAAGTGAACTTATCCACAGCATTCAAAATCTCTTCATTTGCTACATACAACCAATGGTTTCATGTTTGGATGTTGCAGCGCTGGCTGGTGAAAAATCTGTTTTCTTGGTGTTGTTAGGCACAAGCAGGAAAGAAGCAACCCACACTCTGTTGCATTTCAGCCTCAGAGGCTGCACTGCGTGTGCAATCATCTACAAACAAAAAGTTGCACACCAACTTTCTTTCCATTTTAGGCTTGGCTTATAGCTTTTTCAAGTTAAATAATTTACTGTCAGTGCAGTAGCTGACCTTGATGCTATTTTTGTTCTCATTAAAGGCATCCAACAACACTGCTGAAAAAATCATGCTAAAAAACATGGGAGCGAGCACACAGCTCTGCTTCACTCCATTGGTGATTGGGAAAGTGTAAGATCATTGTCTGTTATCCAGAACCTGTGTGAGCATGCCGTCATTAACGTGACATACAATACTGATGAACTTCTCTGGGCAACCAAATTTTGCCATATTGTCCATATAGTACCTAAGACCTTGGTCAGATCAATGAACTTTGTGTACAGACTTGTTCTGCTCCTGGCATTTCTCCTGGAGTTGTTAGGCAGCAAACCCCATATAGACTATTCCTTGGCCTTTTCTGAAGCCACACTGGCTCTTGGATAGATAACCATCTTCTAGGTGAAGGATCAATTGATTAAGGAGGACTCTAGCAAGAATCTTGCTGGCAGTGACTAAGAGACAGATGACCCTGTGATTGCCATAGGACAACCCATTTACTTTTCCTTTATAGAGATGGACAATGAAAGCATCCTTGAACTCCTTGGGGATAACTTCCTCTTTCCATATAACCCAAAAGGTTTCAGCCAGCTTTTGTATGAGAAGTGAAGCCCCTGCCTCGGACATCTTAGCTGGAATAGAATCAGAACCAGGTGCTTTGTGACAAAAAGGAGCCTAATGGCATTCAAAACCTCTTCTTTTCTTAGCCGTTCTCAATACAATGATCCAAAACAACACCAAAGGACTAAAGATGAAGCATATTATCCATCTCCAGAGAAGGAACTGATATTATCTGAATGCAGACTGAAGCATGTTATTTTCGCTTTCATTCTCTTTTTTTATTTGAGTCTTCTTGTACACAATGACTAACATGGAAATGTTTTACATGATTGCACATGTATAACCTATATCTGATTGCTTGCCATCTCAGAGAAAGGGGAGGGATGGAAGGGATAGAATTTGGAACTCAAAACTTTAAAAAAATGTTTAAAATTGCTTTGACATGTAATTGGGGAAAATATAATATATTTTTTAAAAAACCTCTTCTTCAATTGGAAATTTGTCTGCATAGAGATTGACCTCCATCTGAGATATATGGTCAATGGCTTCAGTATTGGTTGATGATGGTCTGCTGAGAGCATTATGGAAGTGTTTAGCCCATCTCTCCAGGATCAGTTCCTTATCACTAATCAATGTGGCTCCATTAGTACTGAGCAGTTGAGATGCACCATAGGTCTTTTCCCAAAAATAGCCTTCAGGGCATCATAGAAACATTTTGAATAGTTACTATCAGTGTAAAACTGAATTTCATCTACCTTCTTACTGAACCAAGAATCCTGCATCTTTCTAAGCTTCATTTGGAGTTAAATGCTGCCTTTTTAGAGTCAGATGAACTATCCTGTTGGTAAACCCTGTGGAGATTTCATTTTTCATTTAGAAGCTTCTGAATTTCCCCATCATTTTTGTCATACCAATCTTAATGTTTGTGAGTATGGTGCTGTACACCAAATCTCT